TTTTCTTTTTGATCATTCATACATATTTGCAGAATATGTCTTCAACATTTTAGCAGAGACAGTAATAGTTTCAGGAATACAGCTTATGAGAGAACATAACTCTGTTGATCGTTTAATTTTGCAAAGTCATCAATATACCATTTCTTGGCGACTTCAAAGGGGGGGGGGGGGGCTAAAGGCTTCTTGACCACCTCTGACAAAACAACCTCGACTGTGTTCTACATGTGTCCAAGAGACCTCTCTTTGAATGTCACGGTCGGTTAAACTCGGTTATATATTTTTAATTGTAGGGAAGATTTATTCATCAAATAAAAATTATATAGGTAAACAAAAAGCAACCTGTTATTTTCTAGCACAATATGAGACTACAAGTAACTAGAATTCATGTTTATTTTTTAACACATTTTGTCATTATAGATGAGTATTAGGAAAAATTGTTGCCATGAGTAATAAGTATCATAGATAAAATAACTAAAAGAAAACTGTGACATATTGTCTAGAACCAATCAGATAGTGGATTGTATTCGCATATTATAATGAGGTATAAGATAGCGATATAAGAAAAATATAGAAGGTAAAGAGGTAAAATTTACCCTGTCTATCAAATAGTATAATAAAGAAAGGAAGTGGTACAATTTTTATGAAATTTTAATGTCCGATGAGGAATTATATTCCCAAAAAGTAAGACAAGAGTTTCCAAGTCAATTGAACACTCCATTATTTCAGTTTGTCCATTAACATATTCATAAACGTAAAAACTATAAGAAATGTGAAATTTTGACTATGTAATTCATATTTCAATATGACTGTACCTCGATCTATATTGAGAAATTCCATGTATTATAAGCTTTTGAAAAGATGTACACATTTGACTTTTATTTATAACCTGCCCCCCCCCCCCCCCCAAAAAAAAAAAACAAGAAGATCCTGTTCATATGACTTCTCGCTCTCAATTTTCACACAAATGCATAAAATAAAGAAAAAATAGCATATCTTGTATCGATTAAAATGCAACCAAAAAATTTACGGTGTCTTTGAATAAAAATTTCCATGCTAAATTGACATAAAAAAGATACTCACCTTCAATTAGCTATTTTCAACCTGTTTTCCCGTGGGTATTTATTTAATCTTATTTTATTTTCTTCTTTGTAATAACGTTGGTATTCTATTATGGCAGAGATATACAATTATGACTCGCTTATACTGTACTCTCTAACTGTTAGGAATAATTTATATTTCACGTAAAAGGGACGCCATACATTTTTCAGTAAAAATACATAACACGGCGTTAGTCGTTTAATTTCTTTAAAGTTTCACATTTTGTGAATAGTGCACAAATTAGAAAATTAAGTATAGGTAATACTTTAATGGGAAATAAAGACAAACGAAGTGTAGTTATTTGTTTTTAGAAATTATATTGAAAAATAATAACGCCATTGTGTCCTCTTTGTTACCCCAGCAGTGTTTGTCGTGTGATTTTAAACTTATTTGACAACCGCATGAATTAGGTTTAATAAAAATAAATCCACAAGATACTGATGTACAAGTAACAGTAACGGGCATAATGCGCCTTTGCTTTATTCTTTTGTTTTTAAAGAAAGTTGCACGGATACCTGATTTCGCGGATTCAACGATACCCTAATATCGGGTATTATACGCGATTTCACGGATAATACCCGATTTCGAGTATTCTCTCCGACCTGTTAAAGGGTTTTAACTGTTCATCACAGGTAATGCAGCAATATTTCAAAAAATAAACTCTCCTTTCGTTTCCCGTAACGATGCTAAGGCTTCTTGAAAATGGCTTAATTAAGTACGCATTTCCATTGCTCTAGCTGGAAAATTTCAATGTAAAGGTGATGGAGAGTTGCTGATGCAAAAATTCACAACAATACGCCTCAAAAGGGTCTTACGTATCATATTCATTAAGGACAGTCCTTGTACCGGAAGTCCAGGGGTGGCTACACTGCTCTAAGTTAGAGAAAATTCGACCTAATCATCTGAAAAACGGGCATTTAACATGGTAAAGAATAATTCTTTCGCTCAGATCTCGATATTGATGAACCTATTGTATCGTAGAAATTAAGCTGCAATTGTTGTAGGGCTGGGTATTGGCCTGAGAATTCGTATTGCGATATATTGCGATATTTTTAAATGTATTGCGATATGTATTGCAATATTTTCAATGTAATAAAAATGGCATTTTCTTACTATATTTACTTTAATTTACATGCAGAATGTACACAACTATGATAAGTAACCGACACGGAAAAAAATCTTGTTGATTTCATTTAAGTTATGCTCTGAAATTTTACCACAAAACAACTTCTGACTTACTGTTTGGCTTAATAACAAACTTTTATAAGTCCATTTTTATATTTAATAACAAAATTCCTTAATCTATGTATATTGCCAATATATCGATATTACAAAATTGTATTGCGATACGATATTTTTTGTCATTGTATTGCAATATATTGAAATATCGATATTATTGCCCAGCCCTAAATTGTTGTTTAGGGCAGTCTTGCACGTTTTACTTGAATGACTGGGAGGGAGTGTTTTAACAGTCATGTGTTACTTAGTAAAGTAAAAAGATAAACATTTAACATTTTTATTAAACATCTGATGTTCTGAAAAGTGAGTTTAGCCTTACTGTATTCATTTTTGAAAATCACAAGATAAAAAAATCAAACATTTGTAGATTACTGCTTGTTGCGTTTCTTTTGCGTGTCAGTATATTATATATTACTGTAGTCAGCGGCGACTCACACATATTGTTCCGACAAAAATAGTTCCATCATGATAATTAGATACAACATTATTGTTTATGATAAAAATAATGCTGTGTATGTCATACGTAAAAGAAACCAAAATTAACGTAATTTTTTCCTCCAAAGATCACTTTCCCCCCGAAATGCAAATGAAAAATATTAATATTCCTACGCTCGCTCCCTCCTCAGCCTTTTTTGTAACATGTTTGATAACAGAGAATATCTAGGTCATTCTTCGATTGATATTTTTTCACCGATGAATTGATTATACTATATCAACAATTGTATTAATTTCATGTTAATTGTTCGTTAATTATCATATAGTTTCCTCTTAGAGAAAAAAATTAATCACTGTGTGTGTGTAATATTAAAGCTGACATGAATTCTTAAAAACATTTTCATCTATGTACGACTTGTTACATACCAACTATAGCCGTATTCCGCCATATTTCTTTCAGATACCTTGTCTTATTGTAACGATATATATACTCCAATCGCATCATCTCGGGTCTTTCCGTCAGAGGTCGGAAAAACAACCTCGAATGTATTAACATCATCGGATGTTAAAAATTTATACATTTCCTGTTTATTCAAACATAGGATAGAGTGAGTTAGAAGTCCCTTCTATAGTATATTTTAGGTAATATCATTATTATGAATAAAGTTAAACTCCATATTCCAAAGACAAAAGGTCTCCATGCATTTATTTCAAAGATAATGAAAAGGGAGGGCTGTAATGGCGTCTACCATATACATTCGAGGTCGTTTTTCCGCTAGTCGGAAAGGCCCGAAAAGTTGCGATTGATATATACCCCAATGCGCTCGTTACACTTCAATGATTTTTTGGCTTGGCTATCGACTTGTGCACATCTCCGATGGTAAAGCATTTGAAAACATATGAGTTGTTCAAGACATTTCAAAACAACAACAAACAACAGAATAATCATATTTTGAATAATTATAATGATTTGAATCAAATGTAATAAAGAAAAGAAAGAAAATGCAAGTATGGAAGAAAAAATGAGTTGCACGAGTACGCATTTTTACCTTGCGCCAATTTATGCAGAATAAACTTGAAATAAAAAGCAGTAAAACCCGTAAACACACTTTGAAATTATCATCATCTGTATGGAACAAAACAACCAGCGTCTTTTGATTTGCAGTACGTCTTATGCAGTTGATGCATGTCGAGAAAACGCGTCGAACGCACGCATACCTGGTAATAAGATCACTGCATCGGTTCGAAGATGTGCACAAGTCAAGTAATATACACCCTGAATTCCATTTATTGAAATATGCACCACAAAAAAGAAATAAACTCCATAAAAACTCAATAGTAAACACACTTTCACTACTCCGTACAGTCTAGCACGTCGATACACTTCGTCCGTGCTGATCAGATTTTGGTCAGGGGAAATATCACAAGTGCATTTGGTATTTGCGCGGCTGAAAGGGGGGAGGGGGTGTAACTAAAGTATTATAACTGCTGTTCATAAGGTATAACTGAAAATTGTCTATCTAGTTCTAATAAAAATTCTATATATAGTCTGCGGTTGTTTTGCATCGCAAAATTCATTTGTCAATTATAACTGATTATTTTAGTACTAGTCTCAAATCTAAACCAAGTAATTTGATATACAGTAATTATTGAGGTCAAGACTTAAAAACATTTAACCAGAATATATACAGATTTTTATGTGTACATCTGTACGTTCTTTAGCACACAGGCGGAGAAAGACCATCCCCTGTTTAGATTGACATTTAGGCATTTGTATTTTTAAGCGGAGAGTGGGGGGGGGGGGATAATTGACATGACCGTTATCAAAATTTTCTTGGAAGACAGACATTTCTGCCAAAGATTTTTTAATGTCTCACTCCGACCACAAAGTATGTACATGTACATTCTGAGAAATTTTACTGTTTTAAAATGATGTTGTTACAACTGTACAGGAAGTCTTTCGAGTTTTCAGGAAAAACCCCTACATAAACAAATACATGGGCGCAGACATTTTGGACACCCAAAGTTGTGCGGAGGAGAAAATGCTAGCTGGCGCGTGATTGGTCAATAAGAGAAAAGACTTGTTATGTATTTGACAAGTGAAATAAAGTTGATAAAAATCTCATATCAAGACTTGGGTTTCTGTGAGGTATATAGGAGTTACAGGTAAAAATTTGAAGGGAGGGATGCACTTTTGTTAGAGATTTTCAGTTGGTGTCAAACGCACCTAGTTGTAAACAAATGGAAATTGAAAGTAAAAGTGCAACGGCACGGTATATTTTTTCTGGCATTTTTTGTTTTCCAATATCTCGAACTTTCACGACAAAAAGGTCATTTGCCCGAAATTCAATACATGTATCAGTGAGAGGGGCTAAAGTTTGTATGGAAGTCTATGGGAAAACATTTGGTGGTGTTTGTCCTATAGAATAGGTATGATTTCATGGATAAAAATTGATTACAGCCAAAAAATCAATCAGTTCCTATTTTTTTGACATTGGGATTATATTTTAATTAGTTTTGACAATTTGTTTAAAAATTAGAGGGTTTGGGTAAATTGAGGCTCACAATGGGGACTGCACATAGTGAAAAAATGCCAAAATTTTTGCCCTAGCTCTCATATTTTCAATAAATGTTCATGTAAATAATTTTAAATAAATATTTATACCGAAATTTACTGTGAATATTGTAAATAATACAATATTAATATTTATGGGCATCATCAATACACAAAACATATGAATATCCCCCTCGCAGTTTGAGAAATTCATTTAAATCCATGTATTTTATGAGTGCAGACACTGGAACAGGTTGAGTAATCCTCTTTCGAATTTGTGTTAATCAGAGTTGATTGAATAATTTATAACAAAATTTGACTGCTGTTAACTAATTACATTACTTTGTTTTTACATAAGGGACATATTCCAGCAGAAAAGCCAGTTTCAGTCATGTAATCAGTGCTGGCTTGAAATAAAAGTTATACTTTTGGTGAAACTTAGAGATTACTTGTAGGAAATTTAATTGAAATTACAGTACAATATATTTTTGCAGAAAATACATTGAAAATGCAATAAATATGCAAAATTATAACTGAAAAAATTTTGAAAAAGGTGTCTGAATATCCCTCCTCCTTGCCATATCCAATCTTGATATTCTACTGAAAGGGGGGGGGGTAATTTTGTGCTCTAATCATGCTGAAAAATGAAGGAATTTTGTTTAAATTTGGTTTATTTGAATAACAAGAGCCAGGTTTATCTGCAGTTATTTTTTTCAATTTCTTTGATATTTTTTAAAATAATTATCTGAGTAAATTCTATTTTAACATGATTATTTTAAAGGTATTACATCACAAATGCTTAAAAAAAATTCAGAAGATGGTGTAAATACTAAAAAATTATTATGTAAGCTACTAGATGCATTTATCACTATGTTTTAATAAAATAAAATGTATTTCAGCAATGCATTATCAAGAAGGAAGAGATTAATGAACCCTACCCTCTTACAATGAACAACACATGGACACTCTCGGGATGATCCCTTTGCTTTCATTAAGAGTTCCAAGGTATGGTTTTATTAGAAAATCTAGTTAATCTCTTAATATTTAAGTTATTTAGAACTTTTTATAGATTATCAGAAAATAAATTTCCTCAGAACTGCAGTTATTTAAACACTTTGCGTACAATTGAGCACTGTATTCAGTCAGACAATATGATTTATCTGCCCTTGGCATTTAATCAATTTATTAATTATGTCAATAATAAGAAATGATATGCAAATAAATATATTTGCCTTTTATGAGAATATACATATTTAACATCAATTACATGAAATGTTCATGAAAATTGGCTAAAATGTAGGTCACCCCCCTTCAAAATTACAAAATTTTCAGTGGGGATGTATTTGATTCTCTGATGCCAGCAACCCACTGCTGATAGAATTTGTGTTAATCTTATGTACATTTGAACTAGAGATAATTCTCTTTCTTTCCATTGATTATTTTATCTACATTAGTTTTCACTCTTTCCATAACCCAGCTTTTTCTTACAAAAACCTGCTGATTTTCTTCATTTTCCATTAAAACGGGTACCTGCTACCCTGAATGATTAACATGATCTACCTTGAGAAATTATTAGAGATAATAAGAAAAACAAGCAAAACATATGCTACATTAATCATTTTATTTTAAAAGTTTGAAAGAAAAATAGAAAAATGCTTCAATTTATAGACATCTTTTCTGTTTCACAGATGTTGGTCTGATTGACTGGGGTGTGTGTGAAATGTAACAGCCAATATGTGTACTTAAGAAAAACCCCTACATAAACAAATACATAAGACAAAGTTGTCAGTCCCAATAAGAGAAAAGACTTGTTATGTATTTGACAAGTGAAATAAAGTTGATAAAAATATTCAAGAGGTGAGATAAGCAATGAATATGTGTTCTAAATTAACTAAATTGACCACTTTTTATAAATGTTTCTTTTACTCTATTCAGTATGCCTGCCTGACAGTCTAGCATTTTCTTTTTAAATAAAAATAATTTTTGGGAATATTTGGGAGGTAATTTTGAAAGCTACGGTGGAGAAACCTGGTTGAATACGAATAGTCTTTATTTACTCTTTTGTACATTGAGCTCGATTAACTCTCTCTCTCTCTCTCTCTCTCGTAACTATTCGTTAGCGGAATAATAGGTATAAAATCATATGCACTTTCTGCTGTACCATTTATTACCCGTTGGGACAGATCAAGGATTTTTTTCAGGCGGCGATGTCGAAACTTGTTCAAAAATTGGAATAATAATTTTACTTTTGACAAGAAAATAAACCTAAACGCCCAAATTGACAAGGAAATAAATATGAAATCAACATCACAGGAATGTGAACATTGGGAACTTTCTCAAATACCTTCTCAGGTAAGGAATCTGAACAAAAATTATTTAGACAAGAGGAATAAAAAAAAACTGATTTTAGGAAGAATATGGATTTCTCACCGGCAGTTTTCCCTCCCTTCCTATAATCATTTATATTATGTCAAGAAATATAATTCATTCAATTCTATTTTGATCGTTCATGTACTACAGAATCAAACTCGTTTATTATACCCCACGCAACAAGTTGCGGGAGGTATAATGTTTTTGACCCGTCCGTCAGTCGTCAGTGTGTCAGTCAGTCCGTCAGTCCCATTTTTTTTTTCAGCGCAATTCCTCATGAACCGCTGCACAGAATTTGGTCAAACTTTGCAGATACTTAGGGCACAATGTGTAGATTTGCATCAGGAAATTCCGATTCCTGTATTTTTTTCGGGATTTTCGGCACTTTGACTTTTGGGGGAGTGTGGTATGTGAGCTTGCTCACTTTTTCTTTCGTTGTGTATAAAATTATAAATAATTTTAAATCAAGTTATATTATGTCTATATTGTATTTATTTGAAAATAATTGATAGTAAAGAGATCCGATCTTTTTTTTTCAAATTATGTTTAGGAGAGTGTTATGTATGTTTTATTACCCCCCACCCCTTACACATGAAAATCTCTTTAAAGGATGAAAGATTCCTAATGATGCATGATATATGATAAATTTGATGTAGTTAAGCCATGTTCATACATTTTATTTACATTTACAGACAACAGTACTACTTTTTTGGAAAACAAATTATTAGCATTTTTTTTCAATCAACCAAAATACCGGTGAGCTTTCCACCTTTGAAATTTTCCCTGACCAAATAAACTGATCGGCATGGACCACGTGTGTCCAAGTGCTATATCATGTATATGGTGACAATTTTTTACTGATGAGTTTGCAATGGATTACATGACTTCTGTGATGCATATTTCAATAAAAGTAAAATAGGATATTTCTTTCGACATGCGCACATTCCTGTAACGATAGCAGTATTCAGGTAATTGTTTTTTAACTGCGTTCGATGCATTTTCTCGATCTCCAAACGGTTTTTGCTGTACATGAATGTATTCCGTTTTAGTGCTTTTTCTATATTGCAGCAAATGCATTCAAAAATAATTTACTTCTCAGTATGCTAGTTCTAGTTTTTGTTGGATTTTTACTTTTAAAACTTGTATTTGGTAAATTTATGGATTTCTAAAATTTATTGCTATCGGAGATGTGTACATGTCGAAAGCCAGACTAGAAAATCACTCAAGTGAAACAAATATACCAGGCTTTATATAGCAGGTACAGGTGGCCAAAATATCTCGAATAAATATGGCGGAATCGAAGAAATATGGCGGACAAGGGCATACAGGAATGTAGTAAGTCGTACAAAGATTAAAAATGATGCCTTTTTAAGAGTTCATGTCAGCTTTAAATGACGGAATTTTCAATTCCTGGTCTGATTCTGCTCGTGTGTAGACTGTGTAGGGAGCTTAGTTATAAAATGTGTTGCAAAACCCGAACGGGGTCGGAGATTTCTAAACTGAAAACCGAGTTCATATTAACGTTCAGCATATTACCGGGGTATGTTACATAGAATTTGAATTATGTAAGTAAGTTCCATGACGAATACATTAGTATATTTCAGTGATTTAAAAAAAAGGTTTCAGTTTATAATTTCCCGGACCGGCCCTGATTTTCCTAACCCATCTTAAACACTCTTTGTTGCAGATGCAAATGTTAGAACAAAATATACTGAGTAGTTCAGCAGGGATTGTATTTTTTTTATTAATCAGAATTCGTATTCATATGATCTAATTAAGAAAAAAAAGTTTTGTCTGCCATCGTAACTTCTCGGCAAAACAAAACGTGTTTCTCCGAGGTTGCTAGATGCGTTTGACAACTCCATCGCACGTGTGTAGACCAAGGCTAACTGGTCTTGCGGACTCAGGTATGTGTACTGTTTGTTATGAGACTGGATGATCGTAATGCTACGGACTCAGGAAATTTACACCAGTTCCATAACTAGACACTAAGACAGCGCAGTTTATTTTTTTTTTTATAAAAGGTATTAAACACTGTTAAACATATTAAATCTAAAAGTCGAATATCTTTGGATATGGGATAACACATATCTATTCTTGTTATTGCTAGGGTTCGAATCCCACGAATACCATCTATTATTTTTATAAAATAAACATTTTTACGAGATTTTTTTCTCTAAGAAATGTTTTTTCTCTCATAATTTCATAAATTTCCATAATGAGATGTTAATTTAAATATTCAATTCACATATTGAATACGATTCCTTAATATTTGACGCTGTAGGCAGTCTGCCCGCCTTGTTCCCCCATCTTCTGTGTTCTTGTACTTTACATGTACATGTATGTGAACACCTTCACACTGTGTTTGCATCACTGATTATCATTTCGGCACACCTCGGCCGATCCATATAATTCATCTGATGAAGGCGACGGAATCAGCCAAGATTTGCCGAATGACATAGCACATACGAGGGGTGATAAAAAAATTCGCGAACTAATTGAATAACTTCCGAAAAAGAAATGATAAGGGGTTTCTGTGTTGAAAATGTTTCAAAGTAGTCCTTGCCTATTTTAATGCGCATCTGCAACCATTCTGCCTATGCGCGGATCAAGTGATATAGGCGATCACGTGACATACGCTTTAGCGTTCTGTCACAGAAGCTAAACTTTTTTTCGGACTCTTCTATTTCTTATCACGCAAGTTATTATTTGCAACAAAAACAGTCCATTTGTCAGAAATGGCCTAATCTCTGCAATAGTTTGGGTGGATAATGATATCATTTTGCAGAATGAGCATGGTGACCATCAAAACCCAAGTCCTCTGTCTTTTGAGCGTCGTTTATTTCATGTGGATAAAGTATGGATGCTTTCACTTTATCATATCTGATATGTTTAAAGTCTAAATTAAACGATATTTTAGGAATTTGATAATTATATTATTGTAAAGATATTCATCTATTTTTCTAACTGTAAGTTGGCGATCTTTCAAATCAAATTGCTTAACAAGGGAAACGTCCCTCTCCTAGTTTGCTTTTACCGGGCAACAGAACAAACATCATTTTTAAATATCTCCCTTCCTTCACTTAAACAATCAATCCAATTAACGACAAACTTATGGCAAGTCTTTTGTATTCATAAACCGTGTACAAATTATTTTAAACTTCTACAAAGGAATTTCTAAGATATATACGTTTAATTTACAGCCGTTTGTTTCTCGAATACGACTGAGTCAACCTTTTTTGTCACAAGTGATCTACCTTATGACGTCATTTTCACATTTTGACGTCACAAACACGGGGCAAAACGTTCCATTACATATGCTATTTATAGAACATATGTATGACTCTATGTGTGCCAAATTTCATTCTGATCTGAATTGCGGCTTTGTAAACACATAGGCACTCCCCATCTTAATTGTTAAAAAATATATATCTCTACTATAATATATATATTTTTTAACAATTAAGATGGGGAGTGCCTATGTGTAAATATAGAGATAGTTCGCGAACTTTTTAATCACCCCTCGCTGATGGTGCAGTGTGGTGTGTATATCAGTTGAAATAATTCATAATGTGTTTTAACTGGATTACTGAAGTTGACAGGACCTATGACAGTCGGTGTTTTTATAAGTACAAGTTTACATGTAAGTATACATGTAGATTGGGGTAAAATAAACCGGAATGTAAATGATTAGGTTAACAAGTTCAAAAAGGGTCAAAGATCATCGCATGCCACAATAGACGAATTTCACATTCTGAAGTTATCTCCGTTGTCGACGTGAAATTCAGTTACAGACAGAGATCCAGGAATTTTTCAAGGGTCGGGGTGGTTTCACACCTCAGTCAAAAAACTTCCAGTCCCGCCACAACATGATACACCCGTCATATATTGTTCATCAATCATAAATTGTATTGTAAAGAGTGTAAGGAAATCAGGTAACCTTGATACACAGATTTCAATGATTTTCCTATTCCTTACATACATCTCCTGTGGTGTAGGTATTAATTATAATAAATGATACATCATATAATTTTCACCTGACTGTGTTAGTGCTTAATAAATACCAATCTGCAGCTTTGTTTATTGCATATTTTATGATTGATTAAAAATGCTACAGCCTAAAAAAACATCAAAACATTATTCTTTAATTAGACTATGTTTAGACTATAAAATTGTAAGTGAGACATGACACTACAATTTGTTGCAAATATATATATAAACTGAAATGAAAAAAATATTAAACAATTTACACATGTATAATGAGTTTATTTATATTATTCAATATTAACTTGTTTTAATCTAACACTGTATTTTACAAATACTTGCAGCATTTGATAGTGATAACGATCACGTGATATCACTGACGTGTAGCTGACGTCTAATCATCGCAAAACCCCGAAATCCGAGACTGCATTACATAACGTTGTTTCGAAAGAAAGTGCGGATATAAATATGATAAAGATTAAAGGGATTTAACACATGAGTTACAGTGTACAATTTTAGGTGTAATATCCCTCTGATAAGAGAGATAACTTTCTGAAGACATTTTTCCATGAAATTCAATGAATTGTCATGTCAGAAATTATAGACCAAGACTTCATTTGTAAGGACCATTTGATAATCAACTCAGTCGAATCTTTTCTATTGTACAGATGTTGATTTCTAGTTTCTATTGCCAATATTTTCATTAATTATAACATTATCTTTACCGTGTACATTTTATTTTCAAACATCAAAACAAACTTTTTTTTTATTTATTCTCTGAAAAAAAAATGCCACTAGCTAGGGTCGCCGTGATTTTACACTGTTGTTTATTAATAACCAAGTACGACGGCTTAAGACTCTAGCTAGAAATATATGTCACAGATGTTATATTTTAATTTTTCCAAATAATTGGCGCGCATTGCCAATTAAACACGTTCGCTGCGTTTGTTTGTTGTGTGCCTGGTGTGAATGTTTTGATAGATCATGTGACATTGGTTTTTCGTATTTATGCTTTCGGTTAGGTGACCTAATGTGACCTTACTGCTGACTAATAACTGACCGTTTTTATCTCATTAATATGCATGTTTTAATATCTGCACTCAGTATATAAGCACTGTACCCGCCAAATTCTTTACCCCCACGATTTTTGCCTTTACGGTAGAAGACTGTATCATAATTACCGTATAAGTGGAAATTTTAGCGAGACACAAATTTAGCGATTTGTCCTTAAAAATGGGTATTTTATTTTTAGCGAGATGTAATTTTAGCGATTTAAAAAAGTTCACTAAAGAATCTTTTACAAATAAAGCGCAATTAATATTTAGCGATATCTAATTTTAGCGATCATGTCACCCTCGCTGATAATGCCAAAATTAAATCCTCGCTAAAAATTCTGCTTATACGGTATGTTCTAAGTATTCTTCAAAGTATTTACTTGGAATTTATTTAAATGGATTCCTGGTAAGCTTTCTGTTTACCTTTATTATAATTATTATGTTAATGTTTTTTAATTCTGACAGCGAACAATCAGCGAACGTATGTGTTGTTAATGTCTGTTCTTAAATGCAAAGTATTTGTCTTGTGTGTATTGTGTTGTGAGAGTGTGTTTGATTTATACTTTTTAGGTTCATTACTATAAGCACGTAAATAAATACTTTTTGTGCCGAATCCAGTGTTGGAATCTTTCCTAGAAAAGACCCAGTGACTATGGCGCCCAACGATGATTTGTGCTGAAATAAACCAGAGTCCAGGACAAGCTGCCAACGCCCAAGACCAAGCAAGTGTTTCTGTGCCGTTTTTGAAACAGTTTCTATCTTTTACAATGGAATTCCGTCCAATTCAATTAGACCTACTACATCCCTACTAATGTTATTGTGATTTAAATTCAAGACACGTGGTTTAGGTTTACCTATTCAAAGATTATAGGGAAGAACCGGTTTTATAAATAAAATTGGCAGTAAACAGGGAATTGCTATAGTCTGTTTCTTCTGAAAACATGTCCTGTGAAAAATGTGTTTCCAGACCTTTTTGAAAGACTTTCATGATTTTTAACCCCCTTCCCCGCAGTCACGCATTTTAACGCATATAATATTTCCTATTTCTGACGCAAAATCACGCATTTACCGTTTCCCCGCAATCACGCATTTTCACGCACTTTAAAAAGTTCATTAAATCTTCAATTTAATGCCAAATTCCAACTATTTCATACTTGCTTAATCTCATAAAATAAGAAAAATTATTTTCTAATTAAAATATTACGTCATGATATTATTTACGCTAAACTTTAGAGAAACTTGTACCCCGCTAGAAAGTGCTTGCGGGGAAATGGTAACGTAATATTTCTATGACGTGAGGATTCAGTTTATTTTGCATAACAATTTTGTAAGTTGTAAAGTGTTAACAGAAATCAAATCAGTGGCTAAAAAAAGGGGGGGGGGTAAATAACAAGTATTGCATTTTATCATAGTTTACTGCAAAAATAACAGCTCACTAGCGAACATACGAAGGTAAAAAAAATGTGTAATATCATCTACACTGACAAACCTTTGTTTGCCTGATATGGCTATTGCTATTAATGTGCACAGAGGAGCTTACCACGATCAACTGACCAATTGTTGATTGAATACGTTTACTCAAAATAAATGTTTAAATGTTACTTCGAACACGTGGTTCAGGTCAATCTATGATCATGTCAATGGAGTGCAAGGTGAAAAAGAAATATTCTTATGAACAAAATGCAAACATTAGAAACTATATATGAACGATATCACGGGTGTTTCTTATTTGTTGTTAACTAGAAAAAATATGTTTAATTAAATGTACACGTAGTTAGCGTTAAGTTCAGAGCACCAGCTCTTCAAGGGTAAGGAAAATGAACAGCTTCTCGTATGCATTTAAATGGACAAAACATTTTTTACACAACTATACTCGTGATCACGTGTGTTTGCCAGGGAATCCCCCTGACAATTGTATTCACCGATAGTACAATAAAGGAATTTATCAAGCGTAAAATTCCTGTAGTATTCGTAGTAACCCATAATGCAATTCTCATTCAGCTGATTTGTCAGTTAAAGTCACATTGATGCCTCTTTGCTAATCTGACGCTAAAAAATATAGGTCCGGTTCCCATGCAAAATATTTGTCCAAAAGGAAATTTTAATGCATGAACAGCAGAAAATTGTATCATAGAGAATACTTATAATTTAAACTTGATGGAATTCAAGAGAGATCGATTGAAGTACATTTCTACAGAATGATCTTATAGGGTGGTGAAAATTAAAACGTAACATAACTTTTCTGTTTACCGTGTCTCCACGTGCTAGTCACTTCCTAGCCACATTTCCGTGAATAATTTACCCTATCTCGCTGAAGTCTCACTAACTCTCGCCAGAGACACTGTCAGAGCTACTCTGAACTCATCGGGTTTTATAATTTGCAGAACACCGAAAAATAAAATGTTCCGAACACAGTAGAGGTGTACTACATATTTTTTCGCTCTTTACTAGAGTACTTTAATTACTAGAATTAAGTGAATACCGCTTGTTAAACAGTAAACTAAATTGGTACTTTAATTACTAGAATTAAGTGAATACCGCTTGTTAAACAGTAAAAAAAACAAAAGTGCAAATTGGTGGTTTCTGTTTATTATCCGTTGTTGTGCTGTTTTGTGTGTGACCGTGCGTGACTGAAAGTGTGAACTGTACTCAGTCAGCTGACCGAACAATACCACCTGTCCATTGTTGTGAACTAGACTGTGAAGCGCAGCGCATATTTACCTCCTGTAGATGATTGTGCGGTGGACTGTTACCTTTGCATCTCTGATCGCATTGAGCTCATCAATATTTAATAAAATAAAAAAAATCAAAAGTGCACATCATTGTTTTATGTGTTTCTATGTTTCTGTTTATTAGTTTGTCTTCATGTATGTGTATTTGCTCTGTTTTGTGTGTGTAAATTGTTCATATCATGACCCCCGGGGGTAGGGTGGGGCCAAAATGGGGAATCAAAGTTTTACTTAGAAATATAAAGGAAAAATCTTTGCAAGAACCACTGGGCCAGAAAAGCTGAAACTTATTGAAAGTGTGATTCTAAAAGAGATCGGCCACTCGGGAATCAAAGTTTTACATAGAAATATATAGGAAAAATTTGATTTGAACATATGGGGAATCAATGTTTTTAGAAATATATGTGAAAATATAATTACTTATGTGGAAGCAAGTGTAGATTCTAAATTGTTCAAATCATGACCCCCAGGGGTTGGGCGGGGCCACAATAGGGAATCCAAGTTTTACATAGAAATATACAGAATAAATCTTTGAAAATCTCCTTCTCAAGAACTACTGGGTCAGAAAAGCTGAAACTTATGATATTCATTGTAATTGTGAAGTCAATGTTTTACATAGGAAAATCTTCTTCTCAAGAACCACTGGGCCAGAAAAACTGAAACTTATGTGGAAGCATTGATAGTGTAGAATTCAAATTGTTTAAATTATGATCAGTTGGGTAGGGTGGGGTCACAATATGTATTACAAGGGGCAATCTGGTAAAGAACGGAATGTGTAATATAATTACAAAGGGAATGAGCAAGTAGAAAACGCCCTGTTATATTGATATTCATGTAATTGTGAAGTCACGGGTTGTTTCGGTTTGTACTTTCGGAATGCAGAAAACGTGTTTTTGTCAGGTGTTTCTGTTTATCCATATTTTTTTTTATTTCTTGGCTGTCATTTTGAAGGCACTGTCGATTTCATCGTGCATTGTGGTGTTCATTATTACGTGTTGTCCACTGTCAATGTATTTTCTGATTTTTTGTTGAATGATGTACATGTTTGTGTTCAACGTACCTCCCTTTCCCCATCCTATTTTTTCCCTGCGCAGAGCGACAATCACTTTACAGGTATTACTAATCCATCAACTGCACGACATGGGACTCTTGGACAATTTGGACTGACAATCAGGTATTTGTGTTCTCAGTTATCATTGTCACTGTGTATATATTTTGAGTTTGCATGTGTGTGATAGTGTTTATGTGCAGCCTGTTAATAAATGCGCAACGCGCTATTTGCTTTTATTTTGCTTGCAATTTGTTTTCATCATTTGCAATTTGAAATCAAAACGTCAGATACTGAAGGAGCAAAAAATGATATGGATAATAGGAAAGAGTTGCAAGATCTCATTGATTCAATTAATAGTAAACAACAGTTGAAAGTTTTGACAAAGGAAAAGTATGACAGGTTAGTCAATAAGGAACCCCCTGCAGGTGTTACATTTCAACTTCCCACTAGTACACCTAAGGTTCAACTCAAGTTTGGTGAAGGAGCTATTCCTAAATATGCACCCAATGAATTATTACTTTCACCAAGGTATTTTAGCCCATCTGCTCTGTATCAGGACCCAAATCCTGCTCTGTGTCAGATTCCCAACCCTAACTCTATTAAACTACCCACATTTAGTGGAAGTGAACCACTGCAAAAAGGTGAAGTAAGTTTCGATGTGTGGTCTTCTGAAGTTAGGTGTTTGAAAAATCAGTTACCTGAACATGTTTTGTTACATTCTGTTAGAAGTTCGTTAAAAGGTGTTAATTCCTCTCGGAGAGTTTGCTACTGTCGACGTCATCCTGATGAAGCTGGAAGATTTCTATGGAAATGTCAGTACCGCATAGTACATCATCCAGAACTTCTATAGTGATCATCAGAAAGAAGGTGAGAGCATTGTTGCCTATGGCTCACGATTAGGACAAACTCTTTCAAAAGCTGTTAGATTTGGTCATATAGATGTTGTGGCAAAAGATTCTATGCTAAGATCAAAATTTTGGTCTGGATTGAGAAATCCCCAACTGAGAAATGCATCTAGAAATAAATATGAAACTCAAACAATTTCAGACTCTGTTAAGAGAAGTTAGACAGATAGAGCAAGAAGAACTGAATTTAACTGTTGCTAAACCAGTTCAAAATAGTGCTGCATCGACAAATGTTGAAGCATTAAATGTATCAAACTCTGATTTGCAGAAACAGCTTAGTGAATTACTAAGTCAAATGAAAAAGCTTGATTCTCGAATGAGCAAAATAGAACAAGATCAAAAGAATTTACCTCATGCAGAATCTTTTCAGAGACATATGCCTCAAGAAAACTCCAAACACAACTCCAGTTACCAAGGCAACAGAGGAAATTTCAGATACCAGAATTGGAGATGAAGAGGAACTTCCTCACAGCAGAATGGTAACAATAGAGGTTATGGTAAAGGCCAGAGAGGCAATGATTTAAACTAGCAGTATCTTTCGTTGCAGGGCAAACAGAAGATCAGTTTTCTAAATGCCCTATCAAACCTCCCAATCAAGATCTATTGACAAGACTTGTAGGTCGTCCAAATGAAGCAGATATTACTGTATTTGGTACCAAGACTAAGGCACTTATTGATTCAGAGTCTATGGTCACATGCATTTCAGAATCTTTCTATGAGTCTCTCAAACCTATGCCTAAACTGTTAAGTTTGACAAACTTTGGGCTTAGTGTGAGAGGTGTCAGTGGCAGTGAATTACCATACAAAGGTTACATAGAGATGCAAATCAATGTTCCTTGTATGAATGACTTTTCATGCCACATTCCTGCTCTTGTTGTACCTGAAACAAATTATGCAAAGAATGTCCCTGTTATCATAGGTACTAACTTTATTCGTCTTAGCAGACAAAACTGTGAGATGATGTCTCAGACGTCAGACATATCAGACGAGTGGCAGCTGGCATTCGAGAGCATGAACGATGAGACGCCGGTCAGGACAACAAAAGATCATACCATTACAGTTGCTCCAGATGAAACCAAAG